AATCTTGGATCCATATCTTGATATTCCACAGGACAAAAATATAATATGAAGTGCAAAATCTTAATGGTCATATTCMTTTCCTGCTGTCTGATTGGATGTGCGCAATCACGTGGTTTGCCCCTCCCAGATACTAAAGGTACGTTTTGTAGGAGATGATACAATTGTTGGAAGATACTTTTTAATTTTAGAGGTCCAGCGGGACCCTAAATATTGCACTCTACTTCGATCCGCATTTAGTCTCCTTCGAAGCCCACAGCTGTTGTTGGGACAGGAAGCCCGAAAAATTGCAGACTGTGAAGGAGACTATTCTGCATTAGTATAAACATACTAATGGTCTATCACTCATACTGCGCAGTGATTGGCTACTCTACTAATGGTCTAATTTGTGATAGACCACTCGCGGGAAAATCAAAATAAATAAATTGTAAATTATTTTAAGGATATTTCAATTTGTTCTCATTATTTGACCGATTAGCATGTTTATACTAAAACAATTAGACCTCTCGGCCTCGTGGACTACGAGCTAATAGCCCATTCGGCCTCTAGGACTCGGCCTCATGGGCTATTAGCTCGTAGTCCACTCGACCTCGAGGTCTAATTGTTAATTATGAATTTCCGAAATGAGAAGATTCTGTATAGTCGGTCAATACACAGGTAACCCAGGCTCAATAACTAAGTATAAAAAATGTCCTTCGCACAATATTTTTTCCCCTTAAATAATATTATTCTGACAAAAAGAAATGCGTCTCTTACCTTCCTACAATGTCAAAAATTGCGTAAAACCTCTAAAAATCGAAATAGTTTCAACCAGGAAGGTATGAGACGTTTTATTTATTGTGCGAACGACATATTTTACACCTAGTTATTGATCCTGGGTTACCTGTGGTCAATAATGTAAGCCTGCAGTGGCAACGTCAGTTATACTTAGGGCGTAGCTTCCACGACAAACTTACAAGCGAGACACGTCTTTCAGTGTCGTTTGCAAAGCCCGTGCACGGCCGTTGACAACATTCAATTTTCAATCTAATTGAAATGCAATCCTTTTGAATTTTCAGAGAAAACKGAAGTAACATGTACCTATCACAACAAAGAATACAAGCCTGGAGATAGATTTGATAATGGTCTTTGCTTCTGCACC